CAGTTTAGAAATATAAAGGATGCATAGTATTATTCTTAAGTGAATTTATACAACTCACGTAAATTTACATGTGATTTAAAACATAAGTCTCCAACTCTGCAATTTAGTGCCACTTACTTTATTCTTTGAATTCTTCTCCCTTCTTGTTCTTGTTAGATTTCCGCCTAACATGGTTAGTTATTGGGAGTAAGACATTAAGTCTCGACAGCAACATAACCATTCCACATAGAACATGACTAACAATTATGGCATGATATACATATCATGGCACCATGGGAGAACTTCACATAAAGCCTTTAGAAACTCTCATAACATGACATGAAAATTTCACATAAACCATTCCATAACAAGGATAGGATCAGATGAAAGAAAAAGGTTAAGTTGCTGCCTTCCAACCCTTGCTTTCCATTCCTTACCATCTTTGAGGTGTACTTCACCAAACCCCTAAATCATCTTCCTTTGTAACCAAAGGCCGTGGAAACAACAGTTATTCTCAACTTGTTCTAACTTGTTTTCTTTGGCCTCAAATTTCACTTGGTTATCCTTAAGCATTAACTTCACTCACATAGTCCTTTCCCACGTGATTTTTCATGACGGATTCAATGGTGATATCCATCTCATGAAAATCCAACTCCTCCAAACATACATGCTCTTGACAGAACAAAAGGGTTCTTAAACCCAACTGAACTCCTTTTATTTATACCTCAAACCCTTGTTTTTCACCCTTCAGAATCAAATCCTAACATCATGAGAACATCTATATAACATTAATTTAATCCCATGAATACGAGCTTGCCATATCAGGGCTGCCAATCACTCTTCAATATTGTAAGCTACTCTGAATGAAAACCATGACAATAGGAAGTTAACTCTTACCTCTCCTCCTTAGTGCTTGATTCTAGAACTTTTTTTTTTCTTGATCAAGCTTGCTGTCTCCAGAACTCTTACTTGAAAAATCTAAAACCAATTGAATAAAGCTTTTGATGCAAGGAACAATTTTTGTGAAGAGTGTTTTGGAATTAGATGTGGTTTAGTAGGAGATTTATCTTGGTTTTTGTTTCTCTCTCCCTTTTAACCATTTTTGCATGCTCTCTCTCTCTCTCTCTCTCTTGCTGCAAGACCACCGAAAATTAGGCTGAAGGAATAAGGAGCTATGGTCAAACTTTAAAAATTAAACCAAGTTTAATAATGTTTCAATTCCACTAATTCTAACAAACCATTTTCCCTTTTAATTTGGACCAAGTATAAGTTAGAATTTTTAAATACTTGCTGCCAGTCCAAGGACGGTACAATCTCTTAAATTGCGCTTGGAATTATTTCATATGGTTTTTAATTTATAATGGGTAGAAGTTTTTGTGATTTTCTTGACCTAATTGGATAAAAATTCCAAGATGAAATCTTTCAACAATTACTAACCAGTGAAAAAATGATGTTTTTCTTCTAAATATTCATCTTCCTTCAAATACTTCAAATAATATTTTTCCTTCGATTCTTTCTAAATTTTGCATAATTTTTCTGTAATTACACTTAAATACCCAAAACTTTTAGAAATTAACTTTAATTATATCCATGATGTGTCTGTTAACATGGATGAGTTTTTAATTTTTATTTCCAGTATGCGGACTTTTACCAATATACTAAAACAGACCTTTCTTGTTCCTGTTTTTAATTTTGCTATCACATTTCACGTCTTCCAAATGCATTTTAAATATGTATATACTTTGTCACTTGTTTTTCTAGAAATATATTTATTTTGTGTCAATAAAATATATTTAATTTAACAAAAAAATCTCAGATACATAATAAAATAAAATAAAATGGTGATAGTATTATTTGCATATATTGCTTGATGTGAGAAATAATATAAATTTAATAAATATAATTGCAATTATATCATAACAAGATTCACATTTTATTATTTATCATTACTGCTAATCTTATACAATAATTATTGTAAAAAAAGCTTAAATTATTTAAAAAGTAAATCTTCTAAGCAAAGCACTTCGATGTAAGCTCACATTTCCCATGTGACATCTTGTAGTCCATTAGTCTTTGCCTCACTTCAAGTTCATATATAATCATATATTTATTTCATATTTTCCCAAGAACTGTATATATATTATTTCATTAGTTTATTTTGTTTCTTAAAAATTCTAGCAAATCAATTAAATAGACAAAAAATATATAATCATTAAACCCATCCATTTTATACAGGCTAGTTCAACCATATTTTGGGCTCAAAAATTACAAAATCCCCATCAAAACAAGGTCTCTCTTTTTTTTTAATGAAAAAACAAAGACTTTTTTGACAATGTTCAAAACCAAGTTAGACACAACAAACCTACATCTATCATAACCTATCCTATAACAGAAGACAAAACAAACACAAAAATCTGTGAAATTAATAAAATAGTCCGTAATGACTAACGATATATTTGCAATACTTTGCAAATAAATAAAATGTATCATTTTAATTCATTTAGGTTTAGAGTAGGACTGCGCTGCATGTTTAATTTTAAAATATGCTATGTGAAATTAAAGAATGCTTTTCAAATTAAAGTTTTTTCATATAATAATTAATGAATAAATATTAATTTGAAATTAAAAATTTGGCAGACAAGAAATAGGATAAATACTGAAGAAGTTAAGTAAATAAAGAATGACGAGGAGAGAGTGAAATATAAAATTTAAAATAAATAGGAGAAAAAATAAAAAAAAAATTATATCATTTTATAAATTTAGTTGTGGGCAACAAAGTTTCAGGATTCACTTCAACATCAGCGTCCAACTTATCTTTACTTGAGTTATTGAATTTTTCATATAGCAATTTGTCAGGTGTGTTTTAGATTATTTTTAATATACATAATTGTCTTTGTTCTATGTACTAGTCTATTTGGTTTGCTGGATTTAATCCTTCAAGGATCATGTAGAGGAAGATAAACCTGGGTCATTTGTCTAGATCGTTTTCTTCTGTTTTTATTTCGGTATTTTTATGCGTGTTCTTTGTCTTGGAAACACTTTTTTGTTTTTTAAGAAAACAATTATCATCAAATTTTTTTGCTATAATTGTTAATCCAAATGGATCTAGAGGCTCATCAATCTTTCAAAGTAATTGTAATAATGTTAAAAAGCATTGTAAGAGCTTCTAATTACAAGCTCACTACTCTAATGTAAAAATAATAATAATCGAAATTCTATGATATAGCGTGTCATGAAAAAAAGAAATAGATATAGCAAAAACCAATTTATGGTTAATGAACCCCTCCCCTAATTTTATGATTTGAAGGAAATTTTGTGTATCCTTTACATAGCTTTGCGTAGTTGAACGTTATTTTATAGTGCCTCCAAAAGTTTCAACTATAAAGATATTGTCACCATCAAATAAATTAAATATTTTACATTTTTAAGTGAAATTCCTTCATTTTTATGGAACATGCCCTCTTTAATAGTGGTTGTCCTTGGAATGAATAATTTAAATGATACTTTGCTAGAAGAAATGTGTCATCAACTCCCTTTGCTGGAATCATTTGATGTTGATAATAGTTATTTAAAGGGAAGCATATCAAAATCAATATTTAATTGCACATCTTTGAAACACGCACGAATTTATTTATGTATTTTTTTCCTTTAAAAATTTTCCTCTAAAATGAGATTTTGTTTTTCATCATTTCATTTCATTCATGCATATTATTCATTCATACAATGGGACTTATTTATAGCTAGTGATTATTCTTTAAAAAAAAAGAAAGAGTTAGTGATTACAATCCAAAAATAACAGAGAAAGCTAAAATCCTGAATGAATGGAACCACATGATGTTTATAAAAAAATTACAAATTATAATATATAAATTAAATAAAAAAAATTAAATGAAACACAAAAAACGCTAGTGCAGTCATATGTGTGCTCTAAGTCATAAACGAAAACATGATATGTTTTCAGCACTCAAACAAATAATTAAATTACATCATTTAAATTCATTTGGGTTTAAATCAAATAACTATTTCCAAATTATATTTTTTCATATTATAATCTTTGAATAATTATTTAACTTGAAATTAAAAGATCAATGCAAAATCAATAGGAGGGAGAATGTATACAAAAAAAATATAAAAACATGTGGACTTGTTGTATTTGATGTGCAACCATATGTTTTTCTTTCTGTTGAGACAAAAAAAAAAAATCCTCTTTCTCGCTTTCGCTATTATAAGAACAACTTTTTACACCCGTTAAAATTAGCATTTTAACAAGTGGCGTAGAAAGTGGAGGAGACAACTTTCCATTTGAACAGGTGTAAATGTCTACTTTTTTATACTGGTTATATAAAGAACATAGAAAATTCACTTTCTATATTGGTTGTCTAGACAGTAGGTGCAGAAAATGTTTTTCTTAAAAAAAAAAAACACTTTCTATATTGTTAAACTTCAATATTTGTGTTTCTAGGTTTTATACCAAAGGAAATAGGAAATCTTGTTAAACCTGAAGCCTTAGATTTGAGATCAAATCACTTGAGTGGATCAATTACTTTCAATGGGACGTCGCTGGCATATGTTCTCCTTGAAGACAACTTTACAGGTATGCTTATTCTTTATTGTTTGCAAAAAATTTAATTTGATGCTTTAACAAACTTTTCATTTATTATTTGCGCTTTTTCTATATTGTTTGTAAAAATTTTGACTAAAAAATGGAAGATTTTGAAGCAATCTGTATATTAATGAAAGCAATAGTGTACATATATACATGCATGCACGTATCGTGATCCCTGTGATGAAGCCAAACTAATAAATGACAATGAATAATATTCTATTTCGCCTATAATTCCTCCTACGAATGCGGTGACAGCATATTTACAGGATAATCAAATCTTGACTAATCCTAACACTCCCCCTCAAGTTGGAGCGTGTAGGTTGGTAACGCCCAACTTGCACATTAAAGTTCTCAGTTTTTCTCTTCCGAGTGCCTTTGTGAATACGTCAGCCAATTGATTCTTTGTCCAGATCTTTCATGGCTCTATTTCTCCTGTTTGAACTCTTTCTCTCACAAAGTAACAATCCATCTCCACATGCTTCGTTTGCTTGTTAAAGACTGGATTCATGGCTATATGGAGAGTTGCTTGGTTGTCACAGTAAAGTGGAGTGGCTTTGGCTTGTGGTGCTTGTAACTCCTTCATCAACCACCTTAACCATATTAGCTCACTTACTGTTGAAGCTATTGCTCGATACTCAGCTTCTGTTGATGACCTAGCAACTACACTTTGCTTCTTTGACCTCCAAGATATTGGCGAATCACCAACTTTTACTAGGTAACCTGTGCATGATCATCAAGTTAAGGGACAACCAGCCCAATTGGCATCACAGTAGGCTTCAAGCTATATTGACCCCTCTGCTAAGAGTAGTATTCCTTGTCTTAGTGTGTTTTTGAGGTAGCGTAAGATTCTTTTAGTTGCTGTCATGTGTGTGCGTTTTAGAAAAGCTACAAATTGATTGAGTAAGTTCACGACATGCGCAATGTCACATCTCGTTATTATTAGGCACTGACGTTTTCCCAGCATCCTTCTATATCTCATTGGTTCTACATATGGCTCACTTTCATCTTCTTGTAACTTACAATGTTGCTCTATTGGAAACTCACTCGGTCTGCAATTCTCCATTCGTGCATCTTTTAGAATGTCCAGATTATACTTTCGCTGAGTCAAAACAATGCCATGTGTTAAACATGCTACTTCAATCTCAAGAAAATACTTGACTCTACCAATGTCCTTTATGCTAAACTTTCTAATCAGATGAGCCTTAGTCTCTTGCATCTTGGTCAAGTCATCTCCCACCAACAATATATCATCGACATAAACAAGATAGGCCACATATGAAGATTGAGTTTGAAATATATACAATGAGTGATCCACTTTGCTTTGTGAGAAGCTGGCATCTCTTAAGGCTTGAGTCAGTTTTTAATGCTAGTTACACGATGCTTGTTTCAACCTATACAGTGATTTCTTAAGTTTGCATACATGTGTCTCCCCCTCACGAGCGAACCCTTGAGGAATACGTATGTCAATTTCTTCATCCAAGTCCTCGTGAAGGAATGCATTATTGACATCAAGTTGATGAATGTGCAAATTGTAACCATCTTAGCCACCAGAGCAAAAGTGTCATGAAAATATTCCCCTTCAATCTGAGTGAACCCATGAGCTACCAAACAAGCTTTGTGACTAGCGACGGCATCATTGGGTTGAAACTTAGTTTTGTAAACCCATTTGGAGTCGATAACATGTTTCCCTCGAGGTAGTGGGATGAAAGACCAAGTCTGATTAGCTTCAAGGGCAGAAATCTCTCATTTCATGGTATCACGTTAGTGTGCATGTTGGTGAGCTTGAAAAAATGTCTTAGGCTCATCTGTGGAACTGATGGTCGAAAGGAAAGCCTAGTGTGAACTGGAAAACTGGTCATACGAGATATAATGTGTCACACCCCGACAATAGAACATGTTTGGCACAGAATATAGAGATAATACCTATATCCTAAAAGTCTTTACTCAAGACAAAGATGGCTGGATTAAAGGCTTGAAGCTTCTGGCCCTCTCCACCAACTCTGATCATGCGCAGCTCCAGAGAAGACCCCCAAAAAATGAAGAAAGAAAGAGGACCAAACAAATGTATATATATTTTGACAGGAAAGTTAGGGGTAGAATGGTAATTTCAAAGGCTTAAAGAGAAAAATAAATAAATAACACTCCCCCTAAATACACCAAAGAGGTTCAAACTCAGGACCTAAAATTACATGGTTAACACCATCTTCACTAAACCCCCATGTGTTTTTGTTAAATTTACTTCAAAATTAGTAAAAATACCTTTAACATGACTTACCATAAATTTCATTTTATTCCACTATTCATTATTACTATTGTTTATTTATGTAATAATAATAATTATTTCATTCTTTTCAACCAACATTTCTAGGCTATTACACTACAGTAGTATGATTTATTGATTTCCACATATTAGCACTATCTTTAGTCATTCATGTAAGATTGCCAATGGAATGGGGTATTGAGCTGCTTAAGTTGTTATTTGCAAGATCTAAAATCTGGAATGATTGAAGTTGGTAAAGATTTGAAGAAACGTTACCATCTAACATGTTATCCTGCAACCTCAAAATTTGCAGAGTTGGAAAAGTGTTGCTAGTCCATGATGGTATACTTCCAAAAAACTTATTTTCACCCAAATCTAAAATTCTCAAATGTTTCATATTTTTTAAACTCAATGGAAGCTTTCCTTCAAGATAGTTATTGTTCAAATGCAACCAAAATATTGAGGAAAGCTCGCTGAATGAGATTGGGAAGGCACCAAAAAATTTATTGAATGAAAAATTTATTTCCACCAATCCATATTCAAGTGGTTGGTTATCTTGCCAACAATTTGGAAAATCACCAGATATATTGTCATGGGAAAGATCAATGCCTCTTAGACATACAAGGTGACAACGACTTTGAGGAATATTGCCGCAAAAATAATTATTTGAAATAGCAAGGGTTGTTAGATTTACAACTTGACCAAAACATCGAGAAACATTTCCACAAAGAGAAATTTGAAAGGTCAAGGATTTTAAGAATTACAAGTTGACCGAAACTACAAGGAATATTGCCACTTAAATAATTACTTGAAAGATCAAGGCCCTTCAAGATTTACAAGTTGGCTTCAGACTTTGAGGAATAGTGCCACTTCAAGAATTACTTGAAAGATCAAGGCTTTTAATTAAGATTTACAATTGACCGAGATTATGAGGAATATTGCCACCTAAATAATTACTTGAAAGATAAAGACTTTCAAGATGTACAAGTTGACTGGGACTTTGGGGAATATTGCTGTCAAAAGAATTCCTTGAAAGATAAAGTTCTTTAAGATTTACAAGTTGAATGAAACTTTAAAGAATATTCAACTAAAAGAGTTATTTGAAAGATCAAGGTAATTTAATTTTTCAAGATACCCTATCCATGCATGTTGGAAAATGGCCATTTAGTTTGTTATCATTCAATTCCAATACCTCTAAATCATATCTAAGGCATCCAAAAAAAATTAGAGTCACTAAATGCTTCTCCTTGAAGATTGCTTTCTCTTAAGTATAATTCTTTTAAATGAAACATGCTTTTTAAAATTTGCAAAACAGAAGCTTCCATTGTAGCTATGATTTTATTCCCAGAAATATCTAGGAAGCGAAGGCTCCTTAACTCTCCCAACCAAGATAGAATTGAACTAAAATTGTTTGCTACAAGGGAAAGAACTTCAAGAGAAGTCAAGTTTCAGAAAACAATAGGAATGAGTCCAGCAAGTGCATTAAGTGAAAGATCAAGAGAAGCCATATTCTTAAACTGACCAAACCTTGATGAAAAATAAACTAAAATTATTTCTAGAAGATCGAGTTCTTTAATGGAAGTTGAGTTTTGAAGAGCACTAGAACTGAAACCACAAAGTTCATTACTTGAAAGATCAAGATGCGCCATATTTTTAAGCTTGTGAAACCAAGATGGAACTAAACTCAATGATTTCCAGAAAGCACAAGGACCTTAATGGATGTTATGTTTTGGAGGGCAAAGGGAAGCAAACCATGAAGTAAATTGTGAGTTTGTGATTGATGTCAAGTTGCAAAAGGCTATCAGATTTACCCAACCGCAATGGCACTGATCTAAAATTGTTGAGGCTGAGGTCAAGGGATTCAATAGAAATCAAATTTTGAAAGTCATTAAGGATTCGACCATTGATTTCATCACCTCAAAGATTGAGGACCAGAAGTTTCGCATTATATATGAAATTCATGGGGGGAAGAGGGGTGGGCAAGTTGTGAAGTCCACATCCTTCTAAGTGAAGCACAAAATGGAGAAAGCAATAAGAGTAATTCAATTGCTATCAATAATGAAGTCTGATTTCATTAACTATGGCTATGTGGCCATGTCTCACGAACTTCATTTTTCAATCTTCTAATTTATTAAATATGAGTGAAGGCTCATATTTAATAAATATGATTGAAGTATTCTTCACTCATAAATTTGATTCTCTCGAAGAATTTTTAGTGCACAACAATTGACTTATTGGAGAAATGTTTTATTTTTTAAACAAATGAAATGTTTTATTTTAGTTCCTAAATTTTTGATTTATTGCAACTCATTCCCTATAATTTTGGCCTGATTAAAATCAAGTTTTAAATTTGGACTTACTGCAACTCATTCTTTATAATTTAAAATGTTTAAAATATTGCTCTCTAAAATTTAAAGAATAACTTTATATCTTACGGTTTAATTTTTGAAATGTTTGGACTAAACATTCGATACAATTCTAGAAATATCTTTGCTTTATAGTAAGGGACTCTTCATAATTCTAGAAATACTTAATGAACAGCAACCTAGGGTAAAATGAAAATTTTAATTTTTGGGCTTCAATTACCATTTTGCTTGAACCATTGCATAATGAAAGTGTTAAATATGAGGATTTAAAAAAATGGAAATTTCTTTTGTCACATTGAATATATGCCAATCCAAACAAACTCTTTATTATTGTTGTCACACACATAGGAAGCATTTATGAAGACTAATAATATGAGATAAAATTGGCATAGTTCTGCATAGATCAGCCATGAACATGGTTTCGGAACATCCTTTTCAGCTTTAATTGCTATTTTTATTTATTTGTGAACACAGCTTTGCTATTTGTAATGGATAGTGTAAACATATATTCCATCATCTTCATCTTCCTCTCTTCCAAAGAAAACCATATCTCCAACTCTTCCTCAACACTAGAGTCCCATAATAACCACACTTTTTTCTGAATTACTTTCATCTTCTAATTATTTGGTTTTAGGTACTTGACGAGTATCATGACCTTAACACTTTTTCACCAGGGGGATTCCACAAATGCATTCATTTTGCATAAATGTGGCCAGGGGCGGAACTAGGGCACAAACTTAATGGGTTAACAATTTGAAAATGTTTTGTTAAAATTTAAAAGTTTAATGCAGGAGTTTTTTACTAATAAAGCTAACAGTATTAAGCTTAGAAGACTAAAAACACACCCTTTATAAAAAAAATGAAACCTTATATAAAATTTAAAAAAATAAATATGGGAAAATCACAGTGAACGACCTCTGGAGGATTTTATTTACTGACAAGGACCAAATGATTTTGAAATCATGCTGTAGGACCCAGGGACCAAAACATAATTAATTTTTAGTGTGAAAAGACAAAATTTCCCCTCATTCTTTTTTAAATATCCTTAGTTATTGGTCACTAGAACTCTAGCGCCAGTTGCTGGACTGCCTTGCCAAACAGGCCACTAGAGCTTCAACGGTAGTAGCCAGACCACCATCCAAAGCTCCAGTGCTGATCACCGAACTGATGAAGGAGGTAGATTATTTTTTTTTTTAAGGTGACCAAGGTGGAGTTTGAATGTATATCCTCTTGACCACCAAAAAGATAGTTAGCCACAAGAGGATGTGGGTTCAAACCCCACCTTAGCCACCTTAAAAAAATTTAATCAGTCTCCCTTATTGGTTTAGTGACTGGTGTTAGAGCTTTGGCCATTGCTGTTGGAGCTTCAGTGGCCTGTCCAATGGTCACTGACTTAGGAGATTTTTTTTTTTTTTGAAAAAGAGAGAGGTAGATTTGTATTTTGACAGTAAAAATTAATTACATTTTGGTCCTTTGGTTCTATAGTATGATTTCAAAATCATTTGATTCTTGTCAGTAAATAAAATCCTCTAGAGGTCCTTTACAATGATTTTTTGATTAAATATATACTTTAGCCCATTGGATACAAAT